ATATTTGCTTTTGCTTTTTTTTTCCCCCAAAAATTCCTTCCAAGGCTGGTCAAAGCTGGTACAGTAGGAAAAAAAAAACTTGTTAGATCATGTGCAACAGCACCACCTAGTGACATGCTGCAATAATACATAATACGTGTTTATGTGGACAGCGGTGACCTAAGTTTTTGGCCTGTCTATCACTGTGCTTATCTTCCTGTCTCCTGTGTGGAGTTGGCATGCACAGTTCCCCATTGGCAATCTGTTACACATTTCTTCTCTTCTCAGTTTATATACACCTCTCGTTTTATCTCTGGCCTGGGTCCAGGCATCCAATCTATCAATGCCTCAGTTTATCTAGCTGTAAAATGGGCAAGGGGGGCTCTCTGACAGAAGTTGGCTCTCTTTGTGGGTAGGTCATTAGTTACTGCTTGTAAAGTGCTCTGAACTTCTCGTATGCTAGGTAAGCACATCATTATAATTGCTACCACCAAAGTACTTCAGCTTGTCTGCTCTTTGGGGTGGGAACTGTGGCTGCCTCACTGTCTATACGTTGCCTGGTATAATGGGGCTCTGGGCACTACTGTAATATAAATATTGAATAATAATGAATAAGAACAGTTCACTTGTGGTTAGAACTGGAGGGGAAGAAATGGTCACAAACATTGATCTGGATCTTTAAATGAATTATCCTTGGCTCTGTTTCATGCCCTCTTTTCACTCATTCCTGGCAAACATTCCAGTATGCAGGAATATCTGGGTATTTATAGGACAGCAAGACTATGCACAATGATCCTAATTAATGACAGCTCTAACATGATGTTTCATGACTTCACCAGCCTCTGGCTGTTAAAGAACATGTTATAAGGTGGGGGGCAACTTTTCTCTTATCCACTATTAAGGGGCTTTATATCTGGTGCTGGCCGCTGGCAGAGACAGGAGGCTGGGCAAGATTGACTTTGGGTTGGATCCAGTCTGGCAGGTCCTGTGTTCACAGGAACGACCCGTTTTTAACCCTCCTCAGAGGAGGTTTGTGACAAACTCCCATCAGACTAGTCACGGGGAATGTGTGTAGCAGAAACAGGATTCCGGGAATGCTGCTTATCCAATCAGAGGGCAGAAACGACATCATGTCACCCAGTCCTCCAATCAAAGCCGCTTGAGTTTTAAATACAACGAACAAGCCAAAGAGCAATTATAGACAGGATTTATTCCAGGTTGGAGAAAGCTGCGGGTGGCTCTCAGGACAGAAATCTAGGTGGAATCAGTTGAACAAGGGCTAGATTTTCCCCTCAGGAGCTGTGGCCGTCACCAAGAAGTCGCAAGGGCAGGCTGTGCTTTGGGTCGCAGGCATGGCTTCAAATTGAGTACTTGAATCAGGTGCTGATCTTAGCTCTCTGGTCTGTCAGTGGACAAAGGGCTCAATCCTCTTCCTTTTTACCAATGACAGTGCTCCCATTGATTTCAGTGGGGCAGGATCTGTGCCTTCTGTCAGCAGCCATTAGAAAGGCAAACAAAATGTTAGGGATTATTAAGAAAGGAATTGTAAACAAAACAGCCAGTAGCATTATGTCTCTATAAATCCATGGTTCATCCACACCTTGAATACTGTGCCCACTTCTGGCCCCTACACCTCAAAAAGGATAGGGAAGAACTAGAGAAGGTACAGAGTAGGGCAACAAGGATGGTTAGTAGTAGAGAGGGGTTTCCATATGAGGAATTACTACAGAGCCTGGGCCTACTGAGTGTAGAAAAGAGACGCTTGAGCTGGGGGCTTGATAAGGATTTCCAAAATACTAAATGGCAAGGAGAAAGTTCACAGGGATTTATCATTTACTGTCTCTATCAGTACAGGAACTAGGGGTTATAAAATTAAACTAGTAGGTAGTAAGTTTCAAACTAACAAA